ACTTCTAAGTTTATGTTGCTTTTTATCAAACTGACTGCATGAGATTTCTTGGGGAACGTTTTCTGTTGGCATTACTTTTCATCTTTTTTTGTCTAGTCGATTTTCAAACAGGGTGACAAAGGCTAAAAGGCAAAAACTGATAAAGGCAAGGAGCGGGTAGTTTAAGAGTCTTTCGGGATAAGACACTGTACATGACTCCAGTTCCTCGAGTTTAGGAAAGGCATGTGTCACACTTGGCTGGAATGTCAGTGCACTGTGGAGCAGAGTGCTGTGAACTGGCATTGGTGGTCTTTGGGTGGCAGCAGAGTTTAAGTTCAGCACTGAATCTTCCAGCACCTAGTTCTCCCTAGAGACACTTCTGATGAAGGCAGCATTGAAGAACACACAGTGCTTCGCCGTTGGAGCTGTCACGGAGCAACCGCTCAGGTGACAGACCCACCTCACGGGAGTACAGATGCCTCCACTGTCACCCTGCTAATGCCGTGAAACATTTGGCTCAGCTGTGCAAAAAAGATGAAAGTGTGAGCTCTCAGATGTGCGCAGCTGCTCTCAGTCAGTGCCCTAAGCACTGGCAGATGTGAACCGGCTCACCGTGTGGTCATCCCACTGGCAGCATTAGAGTAGCCTAGGAACTTGTCAGAAGTACAACCTCCTGAACCGGAAATTCAAATTGGAGCTGAGAAATTTGCCCTAAGAAGCCTCAGATGATTTCCACACATGCTAGTGTCTGAGAACCCCTGCTTAAGTGCCATCTGTCACCTGCCCCCCCCATATCTGGTGATGCAGTTGACTATTGTAGCTGCCCCATCCTTGCAGTTTTGTTTACTAGTGTTTTGGTTACCTGAGCTCAAATCTAGTATAAAAATATTCATGGACAATTCAAGAAACAAACAGTTCATAAGTTTTAAACAACTTTCATTATACTGTTAAACTGTCCTATTTTATGAGTTACTATTAATCTCTTACTGTGGCTAATTTGTAAATTAAACTTTATCATGGGTAAGGATAAGAAAAAGCATAACCTTTAGTGCTGACCCCAAAGGGCCATATATCTAAAGGCTTGGTTCTTAGCTCAGGGTTACTGGAAGGCAATGGAACTTTTAAGGGTCTGGTGTGGAAGTTTTTAGGTCATTGGTGTACATCTCTGAAGAGCATTGTGGGGTGTCTCTTGTTCTTATTTTCTGTCTCTTTCCTTCCTGTCTGCCATGGGACAAGCGGTTTGCTTTAACCTGTGCTACCTGCCATGATGTGTTGCCTCACCACAAACTCCAGAGCAACTGGTCCCTGATCCCATTTCTGAAACCTCCAAAACCGTGAGCCAAAGTAGCTGCTTCTCTTTAAGTTGATCATCTCAGCTTTTTGTTACGGTAATGAGGTTAACTGGTACTGGGGTTTCAGGCATCCACTGCAAGTCTTGCAATGTATCCATGGTGATCAGGGAAAGGTAGATAATGCATCAGTTGTTTTAGTCAAGTGTCACAGCTCAAGTCACCTGGTAAAAACAGCCAGTACTGGAAACCCAGTGGGGCCAGTCTGAGAGTTTAAAAAATCTCTTTAAGATGTGTATGTGTGGCAGGCCAGGAAAAATGGGGCAGTCATGGAAGGATAATTTACCTTTCATGAACAGACTAATTTATGGATTGCTTCAGAAGAACTTTGGAATCTGTAATCAGGTGATTGAAAGTTTCTCGTCTTGATCCAAGTAAGCCTGTGGCTTGACTGTTTAGAGCTATGCCCTGTCAAATTAGTTGTATGGCAACTGTACCTCAAACTTAACTCAGACAGACAGGCCTGCCAGGCACAAATTTCTCAAGGAAATGATATGAGGGAGGACAAGAATTGTCCACAGCAAGACTATGAGGACAGATGACACTCAGCAGGAATGGCAGGCCAAATCTGCAAGATCCATAATGCAATTGGCAAGCCCTGGGGATCTGGCCTCGTTGAAGTGGAAGAGACAGCGCGTAGGAGCCATCAAATTAACTTACCAGGCCGGAAAAGAAACAAAGATTTCAACCCCCAGCCCCCTGCAAGAAACAAAAGTTTGAAAAATTAAAATATTCTCAAAGGAATAATGATAATGGAAGCAGAGATCCTGGAGACATAATATCAAAAATGGCCAACACCTCAGATTCTTCTGACTTCCCATCTACCTTCTTTGGCCTCTCTCCCCTAAGTGAAAGATGAATTTTTGCTAGATTAGGTAGCCGTTGGAATTAGTTTTATTCACTTGTGGTATTGGGAATAAAGGCAGAGCCTGCAGGAATATGGGCCCTGCAACAAGTAATCATTATTGCAAAATCAAATTCCCCATCTCATCTCTGATATGCCTGTGTGTAACCCTAGAGCTGGCTTCACAGTGTTATAAATCCAGCATACAAGACATGGAACAGAGGGATATGGAGCCCCCTGTGTATCTAAAAGCTCTGCCCAGCAAGAGAGAGATATATGATGCTAACTTTCTCCCCATTGCTTTTGCAATAAAATTCACCCAGAGCTCCAGGAAGAGTTAAGAATGTAATTCCACATCAATAAATCAAGACTAAAATTAAGATGGCCAGATATGTAGCAGCCTGCTCAGGTGTATGGAGAATTTGAAATTTAGTGCCGTGGTAATGGGTAGCAGCAGATTATCTAATTATGGAGAGAAAGAAGAAATACTGCTCTCTGGGGTAAAAAGCTAAATGCTCTAATCCATTAAACCACCATATCTCTGCCAAAGCTAGATTAATATTAAAGTTCATGTAACATGTGCTTTTTTTTAAGGAAGGAAGTCAAATGTTAGGGAAAAATGTAAGTGAAAAAGCTATAGCTCATGGTGTTTCTGATTTGACTTCTTGTCATGTCATGTAGCTGTGCATTTTATCTTTTGGTGTGATGTCCATCCAGCTGATTATAACAGAGTTCTATTCTTTTCTAACCGTCTATGTGCTTAAATTTTTATCCACATATCTTGAAGCTACTCTGAACAGACCTTTAGCTGGGGTGTAATGAATCAGATATCCTTGTAAGAGGAGCTGAGGATATGATGCTCTAGCCGAGTGATCATTCCCTTTCACCCTCCTACTTTCCTGCCCTGGTCTCAGTGGGAAACCTGCTGGGCCTGAAGACGACAGTGGTTAACCATTACTTTGGGTAAAGTCTATGAGGGACCGGAAGTTTTAATCAGAATAAAAATGACAACTCCTCATACAGTAGTCTCTCTTCACCCAAGGTTTTGATTCCCATGATTTCAGTTTCCTACGGTCAACTGTGGTCCAAATATATTAAATAGGAAATTCCAGAAATAAACCTCCCATAAGTTCCCATAAGGAACTGCTCTGGGTAAACTAATGATGAAGTCTTGCCCTGGATGTGAACTATGTTTACCAGCATATTCATATTATATGCTACCCACCCAACCAATAGTCACTTCCTTATCATACCAACCACGTGACATCAATATATCCTAACTGCTCTGTCACCAGTTAGCACTGTTAATCTTACTGTGCATGATTTATAATTAAGCTTCGTCATATGCATGTATGATAAGGAAAAACAAAATATATAGGGCTCTGTAATATCTACACTTTCAGGTATTAGGTGGGAATTTTAAAGTGAGTTCCCTTGTGAAGGGAGACTACTAAAGCTGTTGAAACTCAGTCATTTTTACTGCTGTACTGGCCGGGGATGGAATGTTTCACTGGGGAGGTTAAGATCCTAGATTGACTTTCACTCTCGCAGTGATGTCAACTTTCCTACCGATGGGACATAGCCTCCAGGAGGGGCTTAGGATCACACAACATCATTAAATACTTCATGAGGCCTTGAGTGCTCCGGGTATAACTCTGCCTATGGACAGTCTTCTGACATTGCTTCTATTATTTCCATGTGTTTTAAAATTAGTATGTAGCCAAGGACATAATATAGCTCAGGGGCATAAGTGCCTGCCTGGCAAGTGCAAGGTCCTGAGTTTGATTCCTGGTACAAAAACAAAACAAAACAAAACAAAAAATTAGTATGTACTGTAATTAATGGCTAAACTTTTGACTCCTTGACTGATCTTATCTGGGATTTTTGTGGTTCCTGACATTTGCAGATGGAATGGGGCATATAGGATATTCAAATTAGGCAATCAAATCAACTAGTGATACTATGGGTGACAGGTTATCTTCTGACCTCAAAACCATTTAATTCTTACTCACTGAAGCATGGTCCAAGTGAGACGCTGGTTAACTGTGAGGTTCTGCCTTCTCTGGATCCTAAATTAACATGTGATAAATTTAATGTTGTATAACATCCAGCACAGAACACAAAGCACAATTTTAATTTACTTTTAGAGAAAGCTTCATGCACTCAGCTTTAGGGACATGTTCACACACCACTGTGCTGTAAACTCCCAAAGGGCAAGGCTGTAACTGAGTTATCCCCAAGGGCCTAGCAGTGTCTGGTGCACACAAGGTGCTAAATAAACATTTTGGGAGGGATGATTAATGTTACAGCAAGAAAAAAGGCAAGCGTGCACACACACAGATGGCTACACTTCCTTAGTCTCTGATCATCTACAAACAAAAGGAATATAGTGTGGTTTTTTTTTAAACTTAAAGATGTGAGGATCAGATTTCAAAGACAATATTAGTTTACGCTTTCCCCAAGTCACAGGATGCTTGGCCAGTCTGTCTTGCCTGAAATGAGCTCCCGTGCTGAATAGGGGGCACTTCAGGGATGGCAGGTAGAAATAACTTAACACTTGGCTTCAATGAAAGTGCAGTTTGTTCCTTTACTGATCACTCTCTGTGTGAAGTAGTCTAATAGATTCTCATTGCAAACAAAAAAGCAATGAGATCAGTAACCCTTACCCTGATTTTGAGTAACTTCAGGGATGGAGATTTATTCAAGATCTCATTATTGGTATGTGCTGAAAGTGATGTGGTTTGACTCCACTCTTTTACCAAACTGATTTCCTGAATTCTTAACTCCCCTACCACAGAGTTTACCATTTGAAGTATACAGGACAAGGCTTTTATACATTCACAGAATACACATTTATTTTAACCAATACCTACAGCAGCTTTTTTTTCTGAGGTCGGTAAAAGTGATTTCACAAATTGCAAAGCAGAATTTCACTAGTACACCTGTAAAGTGATTTATAGGTTAAAACAGTTAAATAAGCGAATTCCTTTAAAACACTTAGAACAGTGTCTGATACAGAATAAATATACAATAAATGTTAGCTATAACCACTACTGTTAAAAGGGAATTACCAGACCATTGTAATTATATTTTGTGTATTTCAGGATCCTGAAATTAGCTTCAGAATTATGGAAAGTACCTTGTGGTCACTGAAAAGCCACTTTATTCTATCTCAATTCTTTATAAATCCATGATCCATGTCAATAATTTAAGACTTTATTTTTTTTTTTTAACCACTTTGCATTCTGAGATCTTTTTTTCTTTTCTTTTTTTTTCCGAGACAGGGTCTTATTATGTAGTTTAGGCTGCCCTTGAGTTCAGAATCCTGAATTAGCTTCAGAATTATGAAATGTACATTGTGGACATTGAAAAGTTATTCTGTCTCAATTCTTTGTAAATCTGTGATCCATGTCAACAATTTAAGACTTTCTTTTTTTAACCATTTTGCATTTTGAGATCTTTGTTCTTTTTCTTCTGAGATAGGATCTTATTATGTAGTTTAGGCCGCCTTTGAGTTCAGCAGGTAGCCTAGGCTGGTCTCAAACTCAGTGATCCTCCTGCCTCAGCCTCTCTAGTGCTGGGATAACTGATGTGGTCCACCATGCCTGGCAGCAGAAGGTATTTTCTTTTTTTTATATATATATATTTTTTGGTCTTTTTCAATTTTTTTATCAGTACCAGGGATCGAACTCACGACTGCCTGCTTGCAAGGCAGGCGCTTATGCCGCTGAGCTAAATCCCCAGCCCCAGAAGATATTTTCTAATGTAAGCACCACTCAGCCGTTTCCTGAGACATGCCTCACTAGCACCCTTCTTCCCCAGGGACAAGAACAGCCTTCATTCAGGTGGCACTGTGCTTACTGAAGAATGACACTTCTGGCCTTCCGCCTAGTGGTGGTGGCCCAAGAGCACATTCCAAGAAAGGTGGTCTGACTTAGCAGAGCTCCCGATGGCCCTCTAATCTTTCTCTGGATGTTAATCAGGGTTGGTAGCTGGAGTTCTGGCACTGATCCTAGAATGTAAATTTAACTTAAGAATGGAAAGAAATCGCTTGTTCAGTACAGAGCCAAGACAGGACTTACAAATATGGACTGTCTAATCTGCATGTTTTCTAAATGAGCTAAACACAATTCTCTTTGGCATTATACTTGGGCTTCTTGCTAGGTACAACTGTACGTAATTGCAATTTATACTTATGTTTCTCACAGAAAACTCAGATGGGTCTAGAATGGTGCATTCTTTAACAAACCCATGTTGAGCACCTGAGGAGTGCCAGGCACTGTTTTGAGGGCTGGATATGCAAGGGGATAGATAGCCGCTGCTTTCAGGAAAGAATAGAGAGAATAAAAAGACTGTACAGTGAGTTCCACTCTAGAATCAGGGGCCCAAGGGAACTGGTGCTCAGGACACACTTAACCTCGGAGAGGACGGCACAAACTTAATATGGAAAAAGTTACTAAGTAAGAAAGCACATTTCAGGAAGCTAAGTGCCAGACACAAAGAACCCAAGATGTACAGTCAGGAGTTGTTTCCCTCAGGACACTGAGAACATCATCAAACCAGGGATGGCGAGACTGAGAGCTTTCAAAGGTACTAACAGCCTGCAAGCCATCATTCTCATCTCCGCCATCTCTGCATCCTCTGAGACCTAAGCAGTGGGAAGTCTTGGCACACAGCGCTGGGCTGTAACTGTTAGATCTATGGGTGCACTTGGACAAGGAACAGAGTGGCAGATGTAAGGATTCCAAGGGTGTAAGCGTCACAGAGTTGACGGGGAAGAGGAGGGCATTAGCACAAAGGTGACTGTCACCTGCTTCAGCAGAGTGCAATGGCTGGGATGCGAAGGCTGGGTGTCAGCCCCAGCTGTCCCGCTTCTCTCCTCCTGCTGTGCAGTGGAAGAGGAGCCTGAGGCTGATGCCGCAGGGCTTGCGGGCAGCAGACCAGCTGGGAGGGGTCTGCAATGCCAGACAGGCAGACGGCACTTGCCCTATCATCTGCGTTATAACTCCTAGGACGAACTTATGCCCCAGAGTTTCTGAACATGAAAATATGAACTAAAGGGCCACTTTATAAAATTAAAAATGTTTCTACAGGCAATGAATCATGAAATTCAATCCTGCAAAAACAGTCTTGCCTTATTGGCCTATTAAATCTCTTGCCTCAGTAAGATAAAAGGCAAACATAGGGCAGGGGCAGACTTTATAATCCTCACTTTCTTATAAACAAGCAAAAATTAAATTGCCTGGAGAAGAGAATGGAAACTAATCTTTACTGATAGCTATGGGTTATACTTTAGGCTTTTCCACATATACTGTCTCTTAATCCTGCTCATCTATAAAGCTTGTTGATTTTTACAGATCAACAAAATAAGGTTCACCGCTTCACTTAAAATCAATAATGGCCATTAAGTGACAAAAGCAGGACCCAGCAGAAGTGCTGTGTAATTCCTACGCAGCTGCTCTTTCCTGGGGAACTCTGAGTCGCACACTGCGGAGGGAGACTGAGCATGATCCGCTGGGAAACATTCCACAGCAGTAACCAGTAAGGGGTCCAAAGACTTTCCCTCTCCTTTGAAAAGAGAAGCTCCTTGGTACTTAGTAACTGATTATTCATTCAGCTGAAAGAGTTACAAAGTATGTAGGCCTGTTAATAAAGCATCTTTGTTTTTCACAGTACTGCTTTAGCAGCCTTGCTAAGACAGCTCACTTCCAGTTTAGTAATAGATTCAAAACTGGCGGAATGCCCATCTCCTCTGCCACCTCACACCCTAGCAGCCCAACACCAGAAGAGAATCATTAACTCACGAGGAATGTCCTTTATTGGGTCTCCTCCAGGGCAGGGTGGCAGTTAGTTTTGCCCCAGTGAATACTGAATACAGGAAAGAAACAAACAAGTTTTTTTGTTTACTTTAAAAACCATTCACGTGCTCACATAAATAGCTGAAAACAAATACATCTGTCTTCCTTTCTGTACCACCGGCATAATTTACCACAGTTTTTAATACACTACTATAAATATTGCTAAGAGGAAAATGAATTTTAAAACATGAAAGGAGTTAATAAATACCCAAGTAAGTCAACCATTCAGAGGACGATCTGAATTTGTTTTACGATTAAGCCACTGATTTGCAGCCTTTATTAAAATAAATTCACCTATGAAAACAAGGTAACTTATAGTTGGATCAACTTTTTTTTGACGGCAGTTGAGTTTTTACATAAAAAATGGCAAGACTTCAACAAATGAACGAATAAAACATTCAGACACGAGTTTACACTTTAAAAAAAGTCTATCAGCTCCAACAAATACACATGACTGCACATCAATTTATGTTAGTCCTGTGTAAAGGATACACTTCCCACTTAAAAACACTTTGTATCACGCTTCTGCAGGGCATGGGGAACTTCTAGTGGGAGGTGGCGTACAGTCTGTTCTTGACGAAGACAACAGTGGACAGATGCTGCCTGATGCCTGGATAGTGCTGAATGTGACAAAACCAGCGAGACACATTAAGATATTTTTCCTTTTCTTGGACTGTCAGGTCAACCTGAGTAGAGATTAAAAACACACACATAGTATCAACAATGTACCATAAGTAAACTATATTTGATGACTGAAAAAACCAACAGTTCTCAAAAGCCAACATATTTAAATAAAAATTTCAGCTACTTGGGAAAGCTATGTAGTTGTTTAATACATTTATGTTCAGTTTTTTTGTTTTGTTTTGTTTTTTGTCTTTTTCCTTTTTATTGGTACCGGGGGTCAAACTCACGACTGCCTGCTTGCAAGGCAGTGCTTATTCCGCTGAGCTAAATCCCCAGCCCCATTTATGTTCAGTTTTAAACCATATGTTTTTTTCTAGGGAAATACCAAGTTTTCCATAGACGCAAAATTTATATTAACCCAAGGTTTGGAGGCCCAAAGAGTTTCTCATTTTATTAGAATAGAAGATGGGAGAAAAGGGTAGCTTCCGAAAGTCTAGGATAGAGAAACAGCAAAAAAAGGAAAGATTTATTGACATCTAACATACTAGAGAGAGGGAAAAAACATGCACACATCACACTTCACAAATGCTGGCTACTTCCACCTTTCTAGTGACCTCTGAGGGAAACCTCCAGACAGTGATCACTGCTGCATCAGGAAATTCTCTCCCGAGTCACATACTCAGATGAAGGCGGCTAAGTAAAAAAGAACACACCCCCTAAATTCTGCATGCCATAAAGCTGAACTCTTTTAGTAGACGCAGCAGTTCATAGCATTTACTATCAGGCTACAAGGAGGCCTAGGACCTGGTTAGGTGCCTACCTAGGTGCCAGTGGGCTCAAATTCCCAAGCAGGTGACTCCAGGATTCTTCTCTAAGACAAATTTTTGAATTACTAGGCTTTATCACCAAAGAGAAAGCCAGCAAGGAGTAGTTCTTCCTGTTACTCATTTAACACACACTGCAAATCTGTACAATACAAAGGGAAAAGAAAAACAAACCCTAAAACTTAGGCACCCCATGAGTGACCTCATCAGTAGCTGGCTTGTTGGGGGACGTCTTATGGGTTTTCAGAATTTAATCTATACTTCTGCCTACAGGCAAACACGCTGCTAAGTTACTAGACTGACAAAAGTCACATCGATCTCAATAACTATTACACAATCTAATGTAATACTAACAATAAAAAGGTAGACTGTATTTTCTTACAAAATGTCTAACTGAACATTTGTTAGCTGTTTACTTATATTGTTAGTGAGCTTCACTGCTTTGTTTACATAAAAAGTATATACTTCAGGTTTTAGTAACACACAGAAGCCCTGCACAGAAGCTTGGTAACAAATTATAGAAATACATTCATCTTGGCTGAGAGGGGGATAAGACTGCACAGTTAACAGGAAGACGTTACTGTCCCTGTTTCACCTACAAAGATAACACTGAGTCCACCACATAGAGACAAGCTAACATATTAGTCACACAGACTGGCCAAGAAAGTCTTTTCTCAATGTAAAAGCTGCTTTACTAACAAGAGAACTGTTTCACATATTCCTAATTATCAGGTTACAATAAAAGGAGTATCCAGCATACTTAAATAGGAGGCACTAAGCAACTGTTTATGGAACAGTAATTAGTTTGTATTTCAAAATATTTTGGAAAATATTTTGTAAAAGAGCTAATTTTTTGTTCCTTTTCGTAAATCTTAATCACAGGTAAATTTCACCAAGGACTGCAAGCATTTTTTCAAATGCTGGAGCCTAAAGGCCTTGACAGTTCTAGGGAGGTGCCCAACCTCCTGAGGCACAGCCAGCTCCCTCCCTGGAAATGTAACTGGGGACGGGTGCGGGGCTCACTGGCAGGGCCTGTGCCGGCCGTGCTCAAGGCCCTGCGTTCACTCCCTAGTGCTATAAAATAAATACATGAAAAGTGCAACCAACAGAACAATGAAGCTGCAAATCTAGACAGACTGGGAAACAGAGGTTGGTTTTCTTGTAAAAAAATAATTATTTAAAACAGCACCAAAAAAATTTAGCAAACCTCTTTGCTGATAGTTGAAGCAATTAGATGTAACAAAAACTTTTATTCTAACTTGATTTTGTATTTTTGCTGAAATGCATGATTTTAATTTGACTTCAGATAATTTTTTAGTCCTTTCAGAGTTCTTTTAAAATCTCTGTTTAGCCATTTTGTGGAATATTATTTTTAGAATAAAGTTAAAACACACAGAGGACTAAATATTTCTTGACCTATGCTTAATTTACACATCTGGATTTAGAACCACATGAAAAGGGGAAACACATACACAATATTAATATTTCTATTTCGGAACGGCATTCGTCACTCCAGGACTAGCAGCAGGTTGCCATGAGGTCCATTACTTAAAACACTAACACAACATTCAACACAAGGCAAAAAAAAAGGCAACTGAGAACATTTCACATTTGGGGTCTCTAATGTAAGGACTGTGAGCACAATGAAGGACAAAATATTTTTTATTTCAAAACCTCCTAAAGCTTCTATCATCTAACTTATTCCAGTATTTTTACCAATGTTTCTAGTTGACCTAATTTCAGGAATGTAATCTTTACTAATGTTTCTCAGAAAAATTTGCCAGAAATACAATGGTTTTTTCTCAAAGGTATCACTTTAACCTCCTTTCACAGCTTAACCTTTGGAATTTATCTGAGTCAGAAAATTATGACAGACCTCAATTTGTTATCTCTGTGTAGACATTCTACATATGAAAGTACTGTAAACAAACAAAACAGCACAATGCTCATCAGATTTACTATTTTTAAGACTTTTGGATGCAGTCCCCTGGACTATTTAATACTGGTTTTCCATCACCCCTTTCTCCTTGGCCAACGTATTTTCCCCTTTCTTAGAACAGGAAGTGCTATGGAATTGTGCTGGTCACTCACTACTTCCCGTGTGTCACCGGTCTGTGTGCCAGGGTCTGAGGTGTTGCCTGGCTTCTGGCCTAAACTTTTCTCTCTGTTTACACTGGCACGCCACAATTACTTTGAACCTTAAAGCCAAACAGATCATATTCGGAATCACTAATTTTCCATTGAAGACAAGTGAAAAAGACGTCAGGTGACCCGCCTCAGTGCAGCGCTGGCTTGTGACTCATCCAACTGGTAGCAGGCAGCTTTTGTGCTTCTCCGTGGCTCTGCAGCCATCCTCCTCGTACTTTTCCTTTCCTTCTTAAAGAACCACGTATTCCCCTGGTACTTGGAACTTCAGAACAAACGTATTTCAGCTGATAACAATCATACAGTCAAGCAGCACAGAACATTACAAAGAGTTTTAATAATCTCAAGTAACAGTCTGTGCGTAGGGACTACTATCTGCTAGTGAAATCACTCCAAGCAGGCAGTGAGTCACTGATATTACAATCAGCACCACACTAACGGCAGGGCCAACAAAGGCAGCACAATGTAACATTTCTCAAAGGAATTAAATAAGACAGGCCAGATTTCAGAATGGCTCAGACACTGCCAGAACTGGGCTCACAATGAAACGAAGCACTGGGATTACTGATGGCTTGAAGCTTCCTTGCAATTCTGCTGATTACAAATCAAGCGTGCAACAATATGAACAACTAAGTGAAGGAATGCATGAAGCCACAAATAAATATACCGCTAAACCGAACAAGGACCCTGCTGAATGCAAGCAGATGGCCCATCTGGATTTGGCATCTCCTTACCTGAGTAACACATAGCAATCTGGAAAACTGTCACCGTGTAGGTTTTAGTCTGTGAGGCCTGTTCCATGATAAGATCTTTATATGTGAATATTTTTGACTGTACCCTGGACCAGGGAGGAAAAGACTCGTGGTAGGAACAAAGGAATAATCAGCAGTTATTTGGGTATATTCCACTCAGCGCTGTTTTGGAAAAGGTAAGCATACATTTAACCATATCCTCATCACAATAAAGAGGGTGTATTTTTCAAAATGGAAACTGTAAAGAGGTACAGATGCTTAACTATTGTTAGGTAACTAATTTTAACATGTGGAACTGTGTAACTTGTCTGCCTACAAACCAAATGCCCTCCAGGGCACCTAGACCCATAATTAAACAACTGTACAGCTGGGGCTGGACTGTGTTGTGTTACGGAACTATAACAGTCTTCACTGTGCTGGCAAAGAAATGCCACACAAATGCCTTCCTTTTTTTAAGAGTACTCCCCATCACATGACCTGCACAAGTCCTCCAAGAGGAAATTGTAAATACACACTTGGTTTGTAAGAGTTACACTTTATGATCATCTAATTAGACAGGGGAAATGTTCTCATCATAAGGATGGCCTGATGCTACAGGAAGCCAGACCGTGGGAGGCCTGATGGGCATTTACTGGCTTGCCTATGGTTGCCATGCATTGCTAAGTGTTTTAAAGAGTTAACTAATATCCCTCCTGCCACAGATGAATATGTGCACGTAAAAGGCCAACAAGACTGTTGGTGTTTCAGATCCAAACTGTTGGTGAACCCCTCTGTATGGCAGCCTTAATTACAATAGCATAATCTTGCCAGGTTAATTATGGACTTCTCCAAGCTGAAAGCAGTTGGTTTGCTACCAGGAGATACTTAGATACCTTAGCAGCAAATCCTGTTTACCTTGGAGGCTTTTTGGTTTAGAAATGAGGGAAGCTGTGCCATGTCACCATTCCAAAGTCAAAAAGCCACTAAAAATATATTGAACCTAGAATGGAATAAAGAGGCTGATGTGATCATTGTATTTCAGCTCTAATTCAACTTTCTTCACATTTAAATAAAATTACTTTGATTTAATTATACTGATGAAGATAACTACAATTACATTTCCACTATAGATACAGAACACAAAATAGGAACTGTAATTGGTATGAAGTGCTGTTTCTGTAATTCCAGGAAGCACATAGCTGCCCAAGTTAGTGTGCTCAGAGCTGATGGTGGGGAGGGGGCAGCTAAGAGAATGCGACATGATCCCCTCTGTTTCCTTATTTTGTTTAAAGTCAGTCCTATCCCTTCTTGATGCTCCAGCGGAGTAATGACTAGGCCCCTTTATAGCCAAGGGTACTGTTTGGGATGAGAATTCCTAAGATCACTGTTTTATAAGCAGCATTTATAGTCACACTTCCAAGATTTTTAAAATGAGAATTTCCTGGTGTAGTCAAGGCTGTTGACTGCAGATGTTGCAGATGATTCCTCATCCTACTTTCCCTGCCTCCTTACAAGATCAAATTACTTTTAACCAGAAATTAGCACTATATTCCATTTTCTCTAACTCACTATTTTCAGGTAAAAGTTTTATTTCCTCAATGAAATTAACAGTTCTTTGAAAATAGTGTCTTCTACTTTTTTTATGTCCTTGTCAAGTCTAGCAGAGTGGACAAATCTAGCAGGGTCTCTATAAATGATTTTAAACTTACGGTATGAGGAGTTTTGTACTAAGTCAAGGTAGGCCCTTATACTATGATACAGAACTTAACACCATTACTATGTTTGAGGAATAATTCTTAAAGTCACGTAAATCCATACTAAGAGATTATATTGTGAGTGGCAGAACTAAGAATATAGGAAGATTACCTGTGGGGTATGAGTTCCAGAACCCCCTGAAGATACTGTAAAATCCAGTTACTTAAGTCTCTTACATAAAATGGAACAGTTTTTGGATATAACCTACACACTTCCTCTTGGGTACTTTAATTATTTCTGGATTACTTATAATGCCTAATACATTGTAGATGCCATAAATAGTTGTTATAGTGTAAGAAGAACAAGAAAACAGTCTCTATGTTCTGCACACATGTAATCCTTTTTTAATCATTACTTTGTAGTATTTTCAATCCGTATTTGGTTGAATCTGCGGAGGTGGAAGTCGCAGATGCAGAGGGCTGAATGCAACTATATCATATATTATGGTTTACAGAGGACTCCCTTACAATTAAGACACTTGAGCGAGAAGATCTGGCTTGTCGCGGTCCTTCCAAAAACTAAGCTTGGTGCCTTTGTATAAATTACTTTCCATTTTTGCTTTATTTTTTTGTAAAATAATTTCTAACCATTTTTTTCTCTATAAAAGGAAAATAACACTAATCCTGTCTCCTTCAGTTATGAGATATAATGAAATAAATGTAAAACTGCTTGAAAAGTATACAAAATAAATTTATTATGTTTCTGGAGGGCTGTGTAATGTGTGCCAGGAGCACCAGACAGTAATGCTACACACACTGTCTTTGATTCTAGTGGCTTTGATTCAAAATTGTCAAAGAAGGCAGCAAAAGAAATGGGAAAGAGCTTATCAGTGTGATTCAGAAGCTAAAGGCTTCCACCCTGCAATCAGTGCTGCTGCTGAGACACCCCCAGAGAGACAAGTGAACTGGGGAGGAGGAAGGGCTACGACCAGGCCGCAGAAGACAAGAGCGTTCAAAGGCAGAGCAGGAGGGGCCCAGTGGCCTGCAGATGGACACTCCACCATGGCTGAAGGCCTTGGCAGGAGCAAGGCTGGGCAGGAAGGCAGGAGTCAGACGAAGGAGGCCCTCCATGTACTGACATTTTACCTCTCAGGGAATGAGGAACCACTTAGTCATTCGGAGAGGAAAAACCGTTGGTCACAAGAAAGACTGCTCTGGTGGTCACCAGCATTATCTAGGCTACCAGGGTACACAGAAGATGGGCGCTAGAATTAATAGCTACAGGCAAGTTGGATGAAGATAATGCCAAAGGGTGGCTGGAGAAATAATTTTCAAAGAAAAGCAGAAGCAAAGGTTAAGAACCAAGCAAATCAAGGAACAGGAGGCAACTATGTTAAGTGGAGACATGGAAGGAATTTTTGTACAAAGCATCTTATCTTAAAATGATTTCTTTTGTTTTTATTTGGTAAGTTGAAAATGAAAATCTTAAATTCTAGATAATTAAAAAAATCATACTGAACATGACGGTAGAAAGAAAAGCAAAAACTATTTGAATACTCACTATAAAGCGATGAAGTCCATAGTACAATAGGATATCTGCTAAGGTAAGGTTATATCCTGTAAGGTAGACTTTGTCTTCAAGATAAGAATTAAGATCCTAGAAAAAAATAAAATTTTAATTTAGAAAGCACAAAGGACAGCACTACTACACCATATGACTAAAAACACTTAAAGACTATACAGCAACAAAATGCAGTACTAACATTTAACTTAATAAAGTTAATCTCTGAGGTTGATGGAAAAAGGCTCACTCAGAATCAAAAGCTGTGTGCCAATCATATCCTTAAAAAGAAAGAAACAATAACAACAACAACAAAAAACAAAACCAGAATAGGCTAGGTACAGTGCTCTGCCTGTAATTCCAACAGATTTAGGCAGGAGATCACAAATTCAAGCACAGGCCAGAGAATTTTTTTTTTTTCCATTTTCTTTTTTGTCTTTTTCGTTTTTATTGGTACCGGGGATCGAACTCACGACTGCCTGCTTGCAAGACAGGTGCTTATGCCGCTGAGCTAAATCCCCAGCCCCTAGGCCAGAGAATTTAGCAAGCTTTTATCTCAAAATAAAAAGGGCTAATAAGGATGTAGCTCAGAGAAAAGGCCTCCTCATTCAATCCAGTACCATAAAAAACAAAATAAAAATCAGAGTAAACATCATTGCTCTCATTTTAAAGAAACAAGAAAACATGAGAAAATGATACTCAAAATGCCATCTACTGACTTCAGTTTTTTTTAATACTGTATACACCATGATCTTGTCAGATTTTTTTTTTCCATTAAGCTACTGGCTTTTACAATTTTTGTTGTGTACCTTGAACTTACTGGGGTACAAACTACATGATATAAAATTTCCCATCTTAACCATTTCTAAGTATATATGTTAGTAAGAGTTAAGGATATTCACTTTGTTGTACAAACAAATGATCTTCACAACTTTTTTATCTTGTAAAGCTAAAACTCTATAGCTATTAAGTAACAAGTCCCCATTTCTCCTCACTCCAGTCCCTGGCAATCACCTTTCTACTGTGTCTATGAATTTGATTATTCTAGACACCTAAGTGGAAGCATCTTGTAACGTGGCATAATCCCCTTACTTTTAGGACTCCAGTACATCACCTGATGCGTGTATGCTACGCCTTGTTTATCCATTAATGTGTCAGCAGACGTATGGGCTTCCCCACATTCTGGCTTTTGTGATGAATATTGCTTCTCTGAAAACAGGAGCTCTAAGAAGCTCTTCAAGAACAGGATTTGAATTCTCCTGGGTGTACATCACCAAATGAAGTCTCTGGGTCACATGGAGACTCCACAATGTCTTAGGGAAGTGCCACACTTATTTTCATAGCAGCCTATCAGTTCATACTGCTGGCAACAGCAAACTATTTTTTTTTGTTTTTGTGGTTTTTATAGGGTAGCCATCCTAATGAATTTGATATCTCAATGTGAATTTGACTTGCATTTCACTAATAATAAGAAATTTCAGCATCTTTTCATAAGTTTGTCAGCAATTTGTACATATGGTTTGGAAAAATGTTTACTTAAGTCTTTTGCCCATTTTAAAATCAGATCATAATTGGTTCAGTTGCAGAATTTTAAAATCTCAATATTCATACCTATCAGATATGACTTGCAAATATTTTGTGCCATTTCATGAGTAGTTTTATTAGTATGTTTATTTTACTGACTGAGTGTAGTGCTAGAGTTTGGCCCTAGGGCTTGCATATGCTATGCAAACAATCCACACCCCAGCCCCATGGTGTCTTTTGATATGTAGAAATTTTAAATTTTTACATAGTATAATACATCTTTTTTTATTTTTGTCACCTAAGCTTTTAACGTCAAATACCAGAAAACATTCCTACCTCAAATGATACAAAGGTATTTTAAGAATTTAGATTTTGATCTTATGTCTAGGTTTTGATTCCTTGAGTCAATTTTTACGTATAGTGTAAGGTAAAGGACCAAGTTCATTAATTTACACATGGATATTCAATTTCCACAATACCTCAAAGGCTTTGGTTTTGAATGTCATTTAAGGGCATAAAAAGCTTTTGTTGGTAATGTCCACACAATGGCTACCAATTTTTAAATTATATTACATACAAAAAGAATTCATTTTAAATTACCCAAACACCTCAAAAAACAAACAAAAAACTCCCCAAATAAACTATCCCACTCCAAATAAACAGCCAATTATTTAGCTCCCTACAGAGCTAATAGGAACATTTGAAGGAAAAATGGAGCATGTGTTAAAAAATAGAGTTCTGAAAAGGTCTTAAATTAGAATTATTGTCTGAGAGTCCAGTTTAATTGCGTAATTTCTAAAGGAAAAAATACAGATAAAAATACTGTACTGTAGGAATACATTTAGCATCTCTCAAAACGTAATTCAGCAGAACAGGAATTTATATTAAATTACATTCAATTTCAAAGAGACAACAGCGTCATCTACCTTCAAAGGCAGGTTTCATAAATAATGCATACTATTGTAGGTATTCTTAGAGGCTCCTCAAAAGAGTATTCCGGATATCTAAGGTCAAGGCTCTGGGAGATGTGATGCCAGCGGGCTTGTTTCCTGTTTCTTGTGCCTTCCTGTTTCCTGGTTCACAAGGGCTGTCCTGTCACAGGGCAGCAGGAGTGAGGGGTGCCAGGCCTCCCATAGAAGGGTCCTCATCCTGCTTATGAGTGTTCCACCCTCTGGGCCCAATCCTCTCCCCAAACCATTACTTTGAAGGTTAGGATTTCAACATTCAAGTTTGGGGGGTATCTAAACGTTCATACCCTAAGACATCCAAAGAGCCTGGCACATATGCATCAGTAATCAGTAAATGTTTGCTAAACTAATTTAACCTTTTTGAGTTTATACACATTTTCATTTAGAGATAGTAATTTTTCAAATAATACGTGAATATGGACTTCCGGGGATGGTACAGATGAGGATACCAAGGAATGTGGACACAAGCAGACAGCTATGAAAGAAGTAAATACATCTTCACTTAAATTTAAGAATTATATAAAGCTCTGAAACACTTTCATATAGTATATTTCTTCTAAAAACAGAATTCATATGATTCATTTACGAAGCCTCTTAATAATGTAGTTTTTATAAGCTATGATTAATGTTTTTCTGGTTTATGTACAAAAAAATATTTTCCTTCTCAAAATACAGGACAGAACTTATGTTTTTGATATTTTTTGGTATTGGAATCGAACTCGGGGCCTTGTGCTTGCCGCCAGGTAGACGCTGCACTATTGAGCTACATCCCCGTCTCTGAGATCTTCTGTGTGATGTTCGTTTCCTTTTCTTTTTTTGGAAACAGAACCTGGGCTGTTCTTTTTTTTTTTTTTTTGTCTTTTTCCTTTTTATCGGTACTGGGGATCGAACTCACAACTGCCTGCTCATAAGGCAGGCGCTTAAGAACCTGGGCTGTTCTCAAACTTGGCCATCATCCCACTTTAGTTTCTCTGTAGCTGGGATTATATATAGATTGTGCACTACACCTGATTCCTTTAAGTAAATCTTTCTGAAGCTATTATCAAATCTGCTGAAACACCTCCTATCTTCCCAACTCTTAGTAAACAATTAGTAATATGGAAAAACTGAAAAAGCAGTACAATAAACAATTATATATGCCTTCCACCTAGACTCAATAAATGTTACTGTTTCGTAATGCCTTTTTAAAAGTTAGTACCTTATTTAGGAGGAACCTAACTAATCTTAGAATTGTGGCTTTAAAAGCAAAGTAGTTTTGGAATAGAATTAAGCTTCTTAAATATGCTAAGACGAAGAGATCTAAAAATAATTAATAAAAAGATATACAGCCTAGTATAAACACGAACAAAGAATACATACAAGTAAAACTTTAAAATAAAAATGGTTTGTGATAATGAAAAATGCCATCTCGATAATTTTACCAAAAAAGTAAACAATGAAACGGTGTTTTAGTTTGCTTCTACCGCTGCTGAAATTGACATGATGGAAGAGAAGCAGTGGGAAGAGGCCAGCTCATACACTGCCACACAGTAACAATACACTTTTCTGCAGGACAAATGGCTTTTGGCCTATCAAGTTCCCTTGTAAGTAGTTAGCCTAAGAAATAAAAGGCAGTGTTTACATAACAGATTACTATGCCCCAGATGCCAATCTACTAAATACATGTAAGTATATATGTATGTATAGGAAAAACATACAAAAGAGATTTAGTAATTTGTGACTAAATTTGTGGGAGAAGAGATGTTTAAAACGTTTATTTGCTTATTTGTATTTTAAAACATAAATAAATAAATAAATGCAACCTGTAATTAATATTGACTGCCATTAAAATGAACAGTGCTGTCTTGAAATAGCACCATGCCAAAAGAAACCAACCCTTTTCCCTTTTGTGCACACATAGCCAAACATCACTTTGCAGTCTGTTCTCCACACTGGCCTCCCCTTTAGTCTGAAGTCTATAAAGACAGAAACCGTGTTTAAGGCCTTGCCAGCCCTTGGGACTGTGCCAGGCACATGGCAGGTGCTTATGGCATCAGGACCAATGAGCAAACAGGCAGAGCAAGGAAGACCTCTCAAAACATGCAGCTCCACATAAATTATGGAGAGCAGCAGGAGCCCCACAAAGGGTCCACATGAGACTTAAGAAACAAGGCCTTTGGGCTGGGAATGTGGCTCAGTGGACAGCTCTTGTCTTGCCTGCACAAGGCCCTGAGTTCCATTCCCCTGCACCACAAAAAAAAGATAAAAAGCCTGAAATCTACTTCCTGTCAGTTCTAGTGACAGTTTCTAGTATTAGGCATGTAGTTAAATCATTTCCCCCTGTTATTTATGGTTGATACACTGTATCAATCTGAGCAGTCTAAAGCTTAACTAAGTAACCTGTAGCTTTCTATCCTGGTCTATAAAAGTCATGCCCTTATCTTTCTAGGGTATTGTCCATTGTATCAATTTGAGAAGGTAAGAAGTTTAGGTGATTCAGCAGGGGCCAGCATCCTTACTTTGTGAACATCCTCAGCCTGTGCAGAGGTGGTCATGGAGATGGAACAGAGTGCTATACCCACGGAGGGGGCGTAGCCTGCCTACAATGTAAGGGAGGAAAAGAGGCCTGCTCTCCCCCTTCTGTTTTGCTCTCCTTGTTCTGCTATCTTCTGCTGCCTTGAACCCTTGCCTCTGAGCCATGCCACCCTGCCTTGGAGCCAGCCAATTATGGACTGCCACTTCCACCCACTGTGAGCTAAATAAACCTTTCCTTCCTTAACTTTGGATGTCTGGTATTTTGTCTCAGCAATGGGAAAAAAGTAACTAGGATACCCCGAATATAAGGAAAAACATTCTTGCTCAACTTATATTACTACTATATAAACTGGAAACAAAATCAGGAAATATGTGGTCATATACATGATCTCTAAGATTCCTTACTATTTTGTTTAAAAACAATTTTTTTTTAATCGGTACCGGGGATCGAACTCATGACCATGTACTTGCAAGGCAGGTGCTTATGCCGCTGAGCTAAATCCCCTTGTTTAAATTTTTTTTAAAAAATCTGTTTTTATATAATGAGCCCCAAAAAATTTTATTTGGGAAGCACTGTTTTTGATGGCTCTAAGCGTCAATTATTTGGCTTATATTTTATATCAACAAATTCTTTCACTCTAATTTGATACTTTTGGAAAGGCAATACAAGTCTTAAGATTCTCAAGAGAAGGAAAGATGGGATTTCTCAGATCAACTTGTTTTAAACTACAATCTCCAAAGATTCTTATTCCCTCTTGCCTCTGAGAAAACATTTTATCTATCTATAGAATCATAATTGCTAAGTGGGGAAACACAGTGAGCCATGCTCACATTTTAAAAATCATACAGGACTGTCATTACTGACACATCAAGTATTCTGAAGGAGAAGCAGCAGGCGCTGTGATTGTACATGGAACAAGAAACTGCAGGTAGCCGAGGGGATGCAGTCCAGGAAGCACCTGTGGCAGAGATGTCAGGGGTGAGATCTGAAGGGGGAAGAGGGTGCTCCAGGTGGGGTAATACCAGGTACGAAGCTGGGACCTGCTTACTACCTGATGCAATCCAGAGTAGAGAGAGAAGTCGTGGTACCTTCAAGAGAGTGTGGGCATCTTCCTTAGTGGAGTGTCTGTCCACCTGAGTGACTCTGTATTCCAACCACTGCTGAACCATGGCCTTCTCTTCAGCTGTGCTTCCCAGCAAATGTTCCTTGTTGGCTTGCTTGACCAGGTGAGTTGCTATGGTCGTCAATCCTGTTAGACTTGGGCCATTGTTTATCTGAAGCACTGGAATCTTTAAAGAAATAAAGAAAAAAATTCTTTAGAAAACAAAGACCTACCTGCCCATTACTTTTAAGTAATTACTAAATTTCTCAACCATTTGTTAGGTTATTTATTTTTTGGTACCGGGGATCGAACCGGGCCTTGCACTTGCCAGGCAGGCACCGTGCCACTGAGCTGCATCCCCAGCCCTCAACTGTTCTTTTTAAAAACCAACTATTCTAGAATTTTAGTTGAAGATACCAAATTATAGGCATGTAAGTCAAGAAAATAGCAATTATATAAAACTTTTGATTTGATAATATAGATGCTTGATGTTAAAACTGGTAATAACACTGCAAAAATTGTAATGTTACTTCGTAACTGTTACATATGAGAAAATGGAAATCCTAATACTGTACAAATTTGAATTGAGATAACTTATGCCCATAAATCACACCACACAGCATTACTGAAATCTAGTGTCTCAGCGCAATAAAACTTCATTTCTTACTTATGCAAAGTTTGGGAGGACTGCTGGGGTTGGTAGCCTGCAATCCCAGGTTCATCTCTGTGGCAGCAGCGTCTCTATAATCACCACAGCAGGGGACTTCTGGAGCTACCTGCACCAGCAGCCAAGGGTTTTCACTGGTAGGGATGTCTGTTACTTCACATAGCCCACTGGCTAGAAATAACCAGGTGATCCCACGCGTATCAGGTGCCACACGCGCCGCCCCCGCCATGCAAGAAGTTACAATGCAGAAAAGTGTAACCCTTCTTCATGTTCTCAGGAGAGAAAATGACATACACTTAAAAAGCTCTAGCACATTGTCACTGATTTTTTATTCCAAAGAAAATTATTATGAAACTAAGTTATCCACAACCTTCCATGTTAACGCAAAAAAAGTTAAGTTACTTTCTCATCTAATCATACAGCTTCCAGACAGGCAAAAAGTCTCATCTTCACTTTACATCTTTTTGTAAGGTTAAGTAATCTTATCCTCATTTTAAAGAATCAAGTTCACTGTGTTTGTAATGGCAGAGCAAGTGTCTGAATAAAGCACTATTAGCCTGATGGTCCACTCCCTTTTCTTTACAGAGCCTAAATAACATATTAAGAAGTCACAATCACAAGACAGTATTTTCACATCACTTAGGGTTTCATGGTTTTCAAGGTAATTACTTTTAAAGGCTAAGTAATAGTTGAATGTGTTCATTACTGTAATTCAATGAACCTCTTAGAGCTGGACTGTTCTGAATTTTTACTTATTATTAGCAAAGTGGCAGAGAATGCCTTATTTATTGCTGGCTTATTATTATCAGTTGTTTGCCTGAAAAACGGCTACATCATAGACAATCCTTTTGCCCATACACATAAATAGAAACTTAATGGCTTCCCATCACTAAAATACTTTAATTAAAAAACCAAACAAACCCCACACTCTAAACCCCAAAGCTCTCAACCTGTAACTTTGGGTTTAATTTGCACCGTTCCTAATACTGGTTTACTTATTGCCCCAAATTTTCCAACCTTTCATAATTTATTGGTTTTAAACATCTTGCAAACCCCAACCCCGTAAACACCAGCTCCTTGAACATAAGTCCATTATTTTTTGAAACCCGGCATTAACTTCCTCTTCTTCATTCCTCACTAATGTTTTCCTCCACACATTTTCTTGTCTTTTGAATGAACCGCATTGACTTATTTCTTATACCAGCTAATAAGCTTCCCAAAGGCATGACTCAGGTCCTGGCAATGTTTCCTATAAAACATAAAGCAAACCAGGTAATAGTGGCTGAGAAGGAGGAACGGTATGGGGATTGAGGAAAAAGCAGAGCAGACCGCTTAGAAGCCATTATCCATGTACTCTTTTATCAATCACAGGATCTTAGGTAAGTTGCTAGATGTTCCAGGCTTCAGATTAACTTGGTTGTAAAAACTACAATAGTGCTACTATAGAGATGATTTGCTTTTGTTTTTTGAGACTGAGTAAGTAGTATTTAAAGCTGGCCTTGAACTAAGTAGCCTAGGCTGGTCTCGTACTTGGTTGGCAGACCAAGCCTCTCAAGTGCTGCGATTATAGGCGTGTGTCACACCTGGCTACGACAAAAAGATTTTTAAAACTCCATCAAATGAAGGAAAAGTTGAGGCAAAAACCTACATTATCTGGGGGAAAAGAAAACTTAAAAGGAGCAAAAAAACCCCGTGTAAATCCAAAGTAGTTGTTTTTATGCTAATCCGTTCCGTCCACAGTAAGCAATGATCTTCGTAAAACGCACACTTCCTCCAATGCCCTGGGAGATCGGGGTCTCACCAGGCAGTCTCAATACCCTCCTTTCCCGCATTATCAGGCTTCTCAGAATCCTTAGTATTGCGTAAGACTCCACTAGGCGTTGTCGGCCATCCACCTTTCAAAGTAGCACTTTTGACTGCTGTACCCTAGATCACCGCCGAGTCTGGCTACTCAGCCAATAAGCAAGCGCCCTAAAGGTGGCGCGACCCCCTCGGCGCTGTCCCAGCGCCGCCCGGCCCGCTGCGGGTCAGCTCCCGGGACGCGGCTACGCGAGGAATGAATGAAAGCAGCGATCGCGGCCCGCGCACACACGCGAGGCCTCCAGGTTTCTCCGAGGGCCGAGGGCACCGCACGCTGGATTCGTCTGCCCTGCCTGGGATGCTGACAACCGCGCTGCAGGGAAAGTTCAGGCCGAGCCCAACGGGTCCCAGCCTGTACTACGGCCACACGTGGGGAGTCCACAAGCCGCACCCTCACGCCCGCCAGTCTGTCCCGCCAGGCTCGGTCCCAGGAGTCTACTTCTCCAGCTCCACGCCGCCTGTGCTTTTCTCACCTGTCGCTCGCCCTGAGCGCTGTACTTATTCCCCTTACTCAGCCCCAGGGACTTCTCTAGCAGCTTCAGCTCCGCGGCCGCCGCCATCTTTTGGCCCAAGCCCCTACCAGAGGGCGGGACCCGCACGCTACAGAGCGCCGTTTTGGGCGGAGACGGAAGTCCCACCCCCTTCAACGTCACCGGCGATTGGTTGAGCAGAGGGGTACGTGCGAACGCGCCTGCGCGCATGGGGCAAGGCCAATGAAAGGGGCGGATCTCAGGAAAGGTGGTGAGTTGTGGAGAGCGGGTGGCAGGTTTGCAGTCGAGCTGTTGGGCACCTGCTGGCAGGGCGAGCATCGGAACGGGCTTCGGTTGCTGCAGTCTCAGTCATCTGTCTCTACCAGCTTTTAAAAGGCGGGGTGTTGGCCTTGCTGCTCGAGTTAACTGGTTAACTCATTTGGCAGGCTGAGGCTTTGGATTAGGAACTGACATTTGGTTCAGAAGTCTCCTGAGTTTGAACAGGTTGAATAATAGGATTCGCCATCCATCAGGAGTTTCTAATTGCAGCATCATTCATGGATACTGACACAGTACTGTAATGGCGAACTGGAAAACCGGAGCTTTAATTTAATCACATCTGCAGCGACTTCTTCCTCACAAGGTGACGTTTACAGATATGAAAGAATTGGGGGTCGCCATCAGCCCTGTCAGCCCGCCGCACCTTTTCCAGAACATATGGACATTCATGCAAATTATTTGTATTTTAGGGCATGAAGAAAATAAATTAGAAAGAACAAAATGCAATCTTTTGCTAGCAATACAAGGAAAGTAGAAACTAACGATAAGAAATTTGAAGGTTTTTCTTAACATTGGAAAGTAAAAGTATTCTTTTAACTCGGATCAAAAAAGGAAATACGGAGTGGAACTGGATGTTTTATAAGATATAGTTATGAGAAAATTTATACTGTGAAATAGTTGTAATCTAGAAAAAGAATTTAAAAAACAAGCCAAAAGAAAGCAGAAGCAAAGAATAATTATGATAAAAGAATGTATAACGAAAAATAACAAGCAAAATAAAAAGTACAAAAATTAAAAATTAGCAAACTTAATAAATCATTTACTAAAGTAAAAAAGAAATGAGGGTAAAATAATAAATCATTTACAAAAGTAAAAAAGAAATGAGAGTAAAATGGGAAGAAACTGTTCAACAGAAACCAGAAACCAGAGTGGCGGAAAGGGGAAAGGCAGGGAAAAGCAAAAAATAAAAATAAAATGTATGTATCCACATATATATATATATACACACGCACACAAGATAGCTATAATTGTTATACTACTAATTTCTCCTAGTGCATTGAAAAGAAAGGTTTGTGTTAATACTGTTTGAATAATTAAATGCCTATATCTTATAGTCTGAGTAACTAAAGATAACAATGCATAGTATATTAACCTTTGTTACTCTATTTTGAAATTTTGTTTTTTCTCTTTAAAATAAAATTTAAAAATGAGAATGCTTTAATACACAAAATTAAAAGTGACAAATTGCACAAAATTACAAGTACAGAAGAAAAAATTAGACTTTTGTTTTACCCAGAATAAAATATTGAGCCCCAAACTATAAAGATTGTTTTCAGAATGAGCATGGTGGTTGTCTTAGTTACATTTTTTGTTGCTTATGCAAAATACCCAACACCCAAAGTTAAAAGAGGAAAGGTTTATTTTGGTTTGCAGTTTGTAGAGGTTTCAGTCCATAGTTGGCTGGCTCCAAGGCAGCACTCTGCATGGCAGAGGGGCATCGCAGAGCAGGCAGGAGGCCGCAAGCAGCAACAATAGCAACCAAACCTGCCTTTATATTTCATCCCCACTGCCAGCCCTTTGTGTGGTGCCACCCACACCCAGGATGCTGCACAACTTAACCTCACCTTAGATCCAATCATCTCCGGAAAGCCCCACCTAAGACCACATGAGGCTTTGTTGGGGACATCTAGATGCAAGCCGTAACGGTGATGTATACCTGTGATCCCATCCCTCGGAATGTTAAAACAGGAGGAGAATTGCTATAAGTTCAAGCCCAACCTGAGCTACAAGGCAAGACCCTGTCTCAAAGAAATTTTTTTATTCAAATGAGAAAACTGTAATGTGATCTTGGCTAAAAATATAAATGAAAAACACCACGAATAAAACAGAATCCAATAATACATTTAAGGATATAGAACATCATGACTAGACAGAATTTGTTCTCAGAATGCAAAGGAATCTGACACTAAGAATCTGTTGTACAATTGAAACAGCTATCACTGTGCAACTGAGTCTGCTGTCTCACAAAGTTGAAGAATGAAATTACAGACGCAAAAGAAGAAATGAGTGTTTATTGAAAGTAAGAGGAAAAATAGCTCCTGGTAGGGATCTAGCAGGTGTCTTCAAAGCTGTGGTTACAGGATGCTTTGTCATGATACTTTACATGGATAAGCACAGCCTGGAAACTTGTTTATTATCCAGTGATCCCCTATCACAGGTGCCTCTGTGGATTTAGAAGAATTAAATGAAGTTTGGGCTTTGTAGAGTTTAAAGAAAATCAGTTGCTCAGCTGGCTTCAAAAGAAACTGAGTTCAAAGGAATCTGGTTACTCTACATTTTATGTTCCTCCAAATCCAGTAGGGAAGTAGGAAGCATTGTTTCCTAACCACGTATTCCAAGAAGTTTTTCCTTTAGAGTTAGAGTTATTATCTTACTGCTGTTTTTGCCCTATGTTTTTATATGTCTTAAGCTTAACTGATTGTATGCCTGGAGTTACGTCTTAACTAGGTATATGTGCTATTGTCTCTGCAACCAGTTGATGGACTCTAGTTTTGGCTCTGTGCCTTACTGGCTGCCTACTTGTAAACCAAATAGCTAAGCTGGCTTCTGCTTAATTATCATATTAACAGAGCTAAGGAGAAAATCAAACAATCATTTCTACAGGCTCAGTAAAGTCATTTGACATTATTTAGTATTCATGTTAAGACACTCAATGAAAAAGTAAAGGTGCTAGCTTATTTTCTATTTTAGGGGAAATTTTTAGAAATTTTCTTATTAAAGTAAGTTTCCTTTTGTACATATCGTATTGTGTTAGAGGTTTTAGTGAATGCATTTAATCAAAGAAAGTACTTAGAAAGTACTTATGAATAGAAACAAGAGCTCAAAGTATCAGTTTATCAATAACAAGGTTATATCTTGAAAAGTCAACATAATCCATGGAAAAATTACAAACAATAAGAGAATTTAGAAAAGTAACAAAGTAGAATATCAGTATTCAAAAATCAGTAGAAGTTATAAAAAGACTCCATGTATATTAATTTCAAATATTTAAATATTCAAATATTTAAAATCTACACTTAAGTGTTGAGTTGTTATGCACATAATGGTGTAAAAACATAAGGTTGCAAAAGTCAAATTGAAAAACAGACAGACATAGGTGCCAATCTACATATTAAGTAATTTGCACATCAGCAAGTTACAATTTAAAAAACCCAGGAGGTGTTGTTTTTAAATTCTTTGAAGAACAGAAAAACAAGGAAAGTTAGAAATCTGCAGATGAAAATGAGAAGTGGAGGGTGGGGCTGATAGAACCCTTCTGGATCCAAAACATTATTATAAATCTCTGTATTAAAACAGTGGAATAGGCTAATAGAACAGAACAGAAAATTCAGACATGAACAATGTATGAGATGAGCCTTGATTATTTTGTAAGAGAAGGTGAAGGAATTATACAGAAATAATGAGGGGCATTAGGATAATATAAGATCATGTTGTTGAAGCAAGTATTATTATTATCATCTCTATTTTATATATAAGGAAAGTGAGACCACAGCAGGGCATGAAAATTTTCTCTGTGGTACTGGACACTGAATGCAAGGCTTTTACAGTGAGCTACATATCCCAGTCTTAAAAAAATACTTTTTAAAAATTTTGAGATGGAGTTGTCTGAGTGGCTAAGCCTGCACATACTAGGCTTGAACTTGGGATCCTTGTGCCTCAGCCCCGCGGGGTATTGTTAGTATGTGTCTGGCTATGTTGGCTATTGTTAGCTATGTCTGGCTAAGAAAATAAATTTTCATAGTATTTCAAATGGAGAAGTCCCTTAGAAGAAAGATGTACGTGCCAGCTGTTGAGGTCTGACCTGGAGTTCTCTGTAGCCCTGTAATTCTCTGATTTATTGGAGATCCAATCAGAAGCCCTAGGATCTTCTTGGGCGGGGTATGTGGTGCTCAGTTCATCAGAGCTTTGGGTACAGTTTGATCTGAGAGTCATGCAGGGGTGTGGATGCTGTGGATGGGGGCTTTGCTGCCAGAAGCTGCTGCTGAGCAGAGGATGTGTTAGGGATGAGCCCTGGACCAGCCTCAGCTGCACTGTGGTGGGGGGTTGTTGGCAGATACTCAGAGGATCTTTAGCAGAAGGCCTTTGGAGGGTTCTTGGCAATGACTTGGCTGACACATTAGCCTGTGCCCAGCATGAGCTTATAAATCCAGCCCTGGTGACCAACTCATTGTTTCTGCTGAAAGGTATCTCAGGTTGCTGGAGGGATGCAAACTCGGATATCTTACTTTCAGGCTCTGCTCAGGGTCATTTTTTCTCTGGTGACTTTCCTAATCCACTTATGTCATCTCTCTCAACCCAGACACAGCTGGGGACCCTCATTTTGGGTCCCCTTGAACCACCCACACACGCACGTGTGTGCACACACACACACACACACACACATCTCCATCAAACTGTTTGCTGTACTAATTCATTCACATATTGGACAGTTCCAAATGGACTTTAGGCCACTTGAGACTGACATGGGTAGGCATTCAATGATGTTTCTAGAATGAGTGAAGGAAAATTAAATGCGTAAAAGTTATACATGAAATATTAGGGAGACACAATGGATGGAAGAAAGAGGATGGGCTTTACAATTGTTCTAAGCTGTGCTGCACAAGGACCAGCAATCCACATGCTGCTGTTGAAGGGCTGTCCTGTGCCTGTCCTCATTTTGAGGCAGGTTCTTTTTATTTCCTACCATAAAACTATTTTTCTGTTCTCTTTTTCATACAGAAAAGCACAGCTCCCATTAATACTGCCAGGAAGTATAGGGACAAAGATTTGACAGTTTGGGATCCAAGTAGATAATCCATTGATAATAAAATTTCTTTGCTAATATTTTTTTATACTGTTCAGTTGGCCTTGAACTCCT